ATGGATACGATAAACAAAACAAAATCTCCATGAATCCATGGTCTACTATTTAAAAACCTTAAAAAATATAGTTTTTATTTTTAGTTCATGCCTAAAATTAAAAAAATATATAGGTACGTATTCCAAAAAACGTTAAGATATACAGGGTGTTGCATTTAAAAAATATCAACTTTGGGTGAAATCTCATAAATGGTGCCCCAAAATTATTTTTTACTACGCCTCTAGATTCTACAAAAAATATCTAAAATAAACTGTTTTTACCTTTTTTCTATCTTATATGGGTATGTATAATAACGTCTCAAAAAACAAACTTTGCGTTTTTACCCTGTATCTCCGAAACAAACGTAGCTAGATTGATTCTGTAATATGTTTGTGGTATTAACGGTGTTTTGTTTTTATTTTATTTTATTGCTTGAAAAAGAGTAATTTCTCAAAATTTGACAGTAATCTATATCTGTAATGTAAAACAAAGTCGTGTATGTTACACCACTTATAAGTTATAACTCAAGAACGGCTGGGCCGATATTCATGATCTCTGATTTGTTGGATTCGTCTCCGACCCGAATAGAAGAATAACTACATATTAAAATATCGAAAAGATACTAAAAAAATAAAGACAGTTATTATAAAAGTAAATAAGAGGATTAATAAAAGAATAAAAACACTTCTTTTCTACAAATTCGGTAGTGATGAATGATAACCCACGATCCAGAAAAAAATGCAAAATGTCTCGTTTGGGGCTACGTCTTCAAACGTTTAAAAATTTGCGTGTCTTCTTTGATTTTTTAGCAAACGGTTTTACCTATGACTTTATGTCAAATTCTGGCAACTGTTGTAATTGTCATAGGTTAAAATCTTCAAAATTGTTAATTCCGCCTACATGGTTAAATTGTCAAAATAATTAATTCTACAAGTACCTTTTGTTCAACAATATGTCTTTCTTCATTAAAAGAAAGGAATAAAATACTTTCTTTAATTACATGAAATTACTTTCAATTTGTGCCGTACTTCCGCATGATCAAAGAGGACATTTTTTAAATAGCTACCAGTAATTAACGAGTACATATTTTTGTATATAGCAGCATACAATACCTATTATATTACATAATCAAAATTTTAAAAAAACTTAAATTAAGAAAAATAGTTTGTTAATTAATTTTATAATTTTACTAGTGTGTTTTTGTTTATATTATCATATTAAAAAAATTCGTTAATAATCCCTCACGAAAAATAGTGCCTTCTATTGAAAAAGTGACCCTCTTAGTTCTGTGTAGACGCCTCGGTAGATTTACTTTTTCTACTTAATTTGAGTTTTTCTCTAATAACTTTTCACATAGATCCACCTGTTGAATTATTGAATATACAGGTGAAAATTGTGTCTGGAACACTGCATATAACTTCAAAACAGTGTTTTTTTAAAGAAGCTTTTTATGGTATCCAAATTTTAAAAAAGTTGGCTACTAGTCTACGTGCTTTAAATTTGTGGTCAGTGGCGTACTTCTGCATGGTCAAGAGGGGCCTATTTTTTTAAATGGCAACCACAGATTTTTATTACGTATTCTTAAAAAGTACACTTTTTGGATATAAATTATATTACATAATCAAATTTAATGCACATATCTAATACGATTATCTATAATTGCTGTCTTCAATAATAACATAGTTACCAACTCGATCTGATACTGATATACCCTGCATAATCCAATCAGATTACAAGTAGTATTTATAAAGTTTACGCGTGTGATTGTAACAGTTTATTATGTATAAATTAAAAAAGTTCCCAAAATGCAGAATTTTAAAAACATTTAGATTATTTTTAGAGCATTTTCCAACTCATGCGGGAAGGCGCTATTATGGTCACTTTCTCCGTCCGTCCGAGGCCTTAACTACTACAGTTTTCAAGATAGTTAGTTCGTTCTTCTGAATTCGGCAGCTTATAGTTCTGGCACCTAGACCAAGAAAAATCTTGACGATTAATGTGGGCATGCGCAAACTGCGCAGTGTCAACTTCCTTAATTATAGGGTTATTTTTTGAAATTTGAACCACAGATGCTTTTAGTAAATACAAGCATGTCGCATATTGTAAAAATGAGATATGCGCAATCTCATCTTTTTAATTTATGGAGAGGTTTTTTGAAATTTTAACCAAAGATTCTTCTGGTAAAGATACCTAAGCATATTGTAAAAATTTAATCCGCACATGCGCATACGGCGCAATGTTCACTTTCTTATTGATTGTTATAAATAACAAGAATATTTATGCCATAATTTATTTTCCTTTTGTACCTACACATAAACGGACCCTTCGGGAAGTATTGATCGATTCATGAAAAATGCGCTAAAGTTGTACTCCTCTTAAAACGAAAACCTTTTTTTAATGTGACGCTCAAGTTTATTTCCCGAAATGTCTTTTACTTATCAATGATAAGTATTTGCAGTCATTCTCCAAGGGAATTTTTTTCTAATAAACCAAGGCTCTCTCTTTCTCCTCTCAAAAGTCCTAGTCTATGAACAGAGGCAAGAAGAAACCGCGCATTCCATCAGAGCGGTTGTTAAAAATACCTATCAGACCGCGCGATCTATGTAACATATTAAAACTGCTCTGATCTTAAATCATACATATTGATCTAAGGCTCTGATGATAGACCGCGCGCTCTACGGTTACAATACAACGCTCTCTGTTTGACACGTTAGCAGGTACAATACATTTAGGCTACGTTCAGACACGGCGATAATCGCGTGATTGTCACGCGGATCTCGTGCGGTTTTGTCTGAACAATTTGGAACATTTTCATGTAAACAAGATCCTCGTGAGAATCACGCGATTATCGCCGTGTCTGAACGTAGCCTTACATATGATACAAATATTGCAGACCGCTGACCGCAGACCACGCTAAATTGAAAATAGTTTTCATGCTTTACATAAAGCGAATCTGATTTATTGCCTTAGTGTTAACACTTTCATTCATTTCAGGAGAATGTTTCCTTACATAAGAGTGACCATATCTGGACTGGACCCCTCAGCTTATTACTGCGTAATGCTGCAATTTCATTTGGCGTCGAACCATCGCTTTAAATACTACTCCAGCACAGGCTGGACACTCGCCGGTTCCGAAGAAAAAAATCACAGTCAACGAGTTTACATTCATCCAGAGTCACCCGCAACAGGCGCGCATTGGATGTCTCAAACCGTGTCTTTTGCAAAGTACGTAAAGAACCATAATTTTAGAATCACGCTCTATAAATTTCTTTTCCTATTACAGAGCCAAACTATCCAACACTATGTCACCTCCACTAGGGTTGGTGGTCTTATCATCAATGCACCAGTATCAACCTACAATTACAATTGTGAAAACGGTCGATCCCCGTTCTCTGCCTTGGATGTCGCCAACGACGTCGGTCGCATTTCCTGAAACGCAGTTCATAGCAGTCACGGCATATCAGGTACGAACGCCCTTAAAATTAGATAACACAGAAAACAAGCAATTATATCTTAATGTCTGTCGGTCAAAACTTTGCGAATAGCACTTGGCGCCGCCCGGCGCTGCAACCCTCTTAGACTTATCGTGTTTCTGTAGACAACAAGCAAATAACTGTTGACGACAGTCGTCCGACTACTCAATCTTCACAAATTTCACACTTAAAACTAACATGCAATTATGTCCTTGTTGCAGAACGAACAAATAACAAAACTGAAAATCGAATACAATCCGTTCGCGAAAGGTTTTCGAGAAAATGAAGAGGGAAAATCGAAGCGGAAACGGGCCGTCAAAGAAGAGGATTACGATATAAAACGGGAAATTATCGATTCGAGTTCGAACTCTTCGTCACCTTCGCTTGATATGGCCGCGGAAAGTAGGATCATCGAATCAAGACTTTCCCAATTTCCATTGAACCCCTTCCACATGTACTACAATCATTATTCATTTGCTCCTTACAACTACATGTACCCGCCATTTTACCTCCCCCAACAGTTCGATTTACACACCGGCAACTATTACGAATCACCTCTAGTTCCCCAAGTGTTACCAAAAACTGTCAGTTCACCTGCAAGTGAAGTACCCAAAAAGTTAACGGACTTCAGTATTCGTGCAATAACAGGACTGTAATTTAGTTAGTTAGAATGTGATATTTTTACTTTTTGTACATAATGTACATATTAATTTGTTAATTTTTTGTAAATATTTTGTACCTCATAATTGTTGTTTTCGGTAGTGTCCAGTTGTTTATATTGATTAAAGTAAATTGATTTTTCTTTACAAATATGTAGGTAATTTATTTTAATGATAAACAGCAGCAGGGGGTTCCTCCAAGTCCGTCAAGCTGACTTTTGACAGAAACCCTTCCGACCAACTGCTCTCTAATTTTATTTTCTTCGCGCATTTGTAGGTTTTTCAGCAATTTTTTATTTCTGTCTCAGATCATATAAAAATTTGAGTTTCGCATCACTTGTTGCTATAAGACCATCATCTACATACAGGGTAATGAGTATCTTCTTTTTCTCAGCTGTTTTCATAATCGGGCAGCATCAGCAATCAGCGTAGGCCTGCTTAAAATCCATTTCAAGAAGAAACTTTTCAAAGCAGGAGCTCCAACACCTTGGTGCTTGTTTCAAACCATAAAAGCCTTGACAGACCTTTAAAGATCCATCGCTAACGCTATCTGGGTGCTGCATAATTATATTTTCTATGAACTTTCCATTTAGACACGCTGTGGAAATGCCGACAAGTGCGAAGTGTCCTTAGCACTTAGCAATATTCTAATTGTAGGCATTCTGGTTACGGGACTAAAAGTTTGTTCGTAATCAATTCCTTTTCGTTGCCTATTACGAGCTGTGCTTTAGACTTTTCAATTGACTATTTGATTATATTCAGTTTGTATATAGTCCTCCGTATTGGACTCTATTGCCAACCACTCTTGTAGTGACCTTCTACATCTAATTTGCATTCGCGAGTTATTGAAGTAATGCTGTTTTAGCGCATTTTCGCAAATGTATTCGAAACAAGTTAAGAAGTAATCGTAAACGATTTACAAAAAGCGCATTTCCAGTTGCATTCAGTTCCCATTTGTAAGATGCAACTTCTGTTAAAATCGTAAAAATCCGGCCACAAATATGAAAGATAGCGTTGCAAATGTGCAATCTATTTTTGACGTGCTACTTCAATTTCAGTTTATAAGAAGAATTTCATTTCAATGCTTTTCTAAATAAGAAAGTTGGAACTGCGCATGCGCAAATCTAAACTTTGAAACTAACGTTAGATTTTCCTTTATTCCGAGCACCTATGTATCAAATTCCATTCAAATACTTTTATAAATTAAAGTTTGCAATTCGGTTTATAAATGGTCGAGATGCGAAAAGGGCACTGTGAATTTTGAATCGAATCGATTCAACTTTTGGCATTGCGTATTATATGGCTAAAGCTATGCCCATATTCAGTTCATAACTAACGGAGATGTCAAAGCGATCGGACATTTCTAACCAAACTTATCGCTCACACGGACAGATAGAGGGACAGACAGACAAAGGAACAGACGGACAGACCAACAGACAGACGACAGACAGCAATACAAAATTAAAAACGATCTCTAGGATCGTTAATAAAAGGCAAAACTGTAAAATTATAGAACATGTAAAAAACGGTTTGTTGTTTTTAGCGCATTTTTGCAAATTTATTTGTAAAAAGTAGCTTTTAATCTCACTTTGGCTGGGTGGCTGGCTGGCTGGCTGGCAGCAAATGTGGGCGCGTAGAAGAACTTTTGTAGAAAGGCAACGGGTGTACGTGTATCTACAAGGCCGTGAAATTTGTCAACCTTAGGGACATGGCTACATGATGTGGGGTTGGCGACATCTGGGCGTCATCCTCGAGCGTAGTATACTAACGTGAAGGTTTTTCAGTTTTTTTCTATCTTCTACTACAGTTTTGGTCCGATTCTTTTCAAATTGGTGTCGTCGGAAAGATGTTGTAAACGCGCACAACTCTTGCGTGGCGGAATTTTGTTTTTTGTCCTAGGGGCGAAATTAACGACCTTTTGCGAGGCGCGCGCGCGCGTCTTCGAGAAGTAGTCAACTTCGGGCGCCTTTTACCTTCCGTTGCGAACTCACGCGGTTTAACGTTTCGTAAATCTCGAATCGCTGTCTCTCTTTCTCGTGTCGCCAATAGAAGTGAATTGCGAGTGAACGGGACGTCGGAAGTGGTACCGTCAAAGGGAATGTGGTAGCCCGCGACACGATCTTACTGATGGTGGAGTCAAAACTTTAAAAGCAAATTGCGGGTGCGCGCGGAAAGTGGGAAGCGGTTAGTGAATGTAGTAGCCTTCGACAAGATCTGTTATTGATGGTTGAGTCGAAAGTGGCTAATAGAATACTGATCTGCCACACAAAAATGCGCTGAAGTCCTTTCGATCTCACACGAGGACTTTGATAATTTTTTGAAAATAACTTTTTTAGCAATAAACTCAGAAAAAATTCCTTCCTTTGTACAAGCCTCGACACCATAACGAACCAAATAGCGAAAAAAGTAGAACAATAGCTCTTAAGATAAAGAACTAGTAGCGTCTCAACGAATGAGCGGACGGACGGACGGGCGGACAAAGTGGCCACAATAGTGCATTTTTTTTATTTTTGTGGAAATGCGCTAAAAAGGTAGCGTTTGATCTCACTTTGCCCGGCTGGGAGACTGGCAGCAAATGTGGGCCCGTAGCATTCTACGCTTGTAGAAAAACAAGGAGTGTGTGTACCTACCGGGGCCGTGTTATTAACAACTTTAGGAACGGGTGGCCGGCGACATTTGGGCGCCATGCCCGAGCGTGTAATACTAACGTGGTTATTTTCCAGTTTATTCCTATATTCGTGTACAGTTTTGCTTTCAAACTGGTGTCGTCGGAAAGATCTTGGAAACGCGCACAGCTTCTGCGTGACGGAATTTTGTTTTTTCTAGTCAATGCATCTTCGAGGAGTAGTCGACTTTGTGCTCTCAAAAGTTTCTAAGAGCTCTAAGCGCGGTCTCTCTTTCTCGTACCGACAAAGTAGCAAGATCTTATTGATGGTGGAGTCAAAACTTCAAACGCGAAATGCGAGTGAACGGGACTTCGGAAGTGGGTACCGACAAAGAGAATGTGGTAGCCCCCGACAAAATTTTACTGATCGTGGAGTCGAAACTTCCAACCCGACGTCCGAAGTGGTTATAGACAAAGGGAATCTAGGTTGTGATAGCAATGTGCATCGTTGCTCCATTGTCGACGTACCAATTTTCCTTGTCTTTTTTTAGACTCATTAGATCAACCATTTACCATCAACGTAATGTTCTGAACCTGATTCGATGATGAATTCGCTCTTGAACAGCTTGGTTGACATGACTTCCCATCAATAATCCATTTCTTACCGTGTCGTACTGTATGTCCTATCTTAACGCAATAGTAGCACGCAAGGTTCTCTCTCTTCTTCTTTGGTTTTCACATAACTTTGTTTGTGACTAGGGCCTCTTGACTATAGTGTCATCATCTTTATCTACAAGTGCCCTCTCTTATGCACAAAGATGACTCGTTAGATTGTCTACGTTTCTGTCTTTCTGATTCAACAGCATCTAACTTGATTTGAACGCGAAGTACTGGTCGTCCAGGACATCTGATTAGGAACAGCTCAGGTAATTTTGTGTTAGAATCGCTTTTGGTATTTAAACAATTTCAGACATTCAGTCAAAACGCCATCTTCCTTATCATGTTTATATCCGAAATAATCCATACACAAATTAAATGCCCTGTCTTCAGACTGCCTATCGAATAATCTATGCAATTCCTATCAGCCTTCATACGCTGGTCAAAATGCAAACTTCTGCAATTTTAAAAGATTTCTTTCATTTTGATGTCCAAAAACAGAAGACGGCGCCAATGGCGTTTTTGTGAAACAGCTTTTAGTTATCCTACGGTTCATCGCGGTCTATGGAAGTGACTGCTTTGTCCTTCCTCAACAACATGAACACTGAACAGCCCTATGTAGTTGTTCCTCCGTCCACTCGCCCTGTTAGATCTTCCCAACCGCTTGTATCCTGTAGACATCTTGCACTGAAACAATATAAATATGTATTTTTTATTCACCATCGCCCCCCCCCCCCATAACCATTCGCCATCTCCCCCTTATTCTATGGGAGAAATGGTGAACACCTGTATTGGTAAAGAAATACCTACCGCTGGCTTTTTTGACGTTATACATAGCTATTACACTTGAAACACTAAATGGGAGCTAAAAAATTTGCTGTGGAATTAATCGAATGACATGTAGTGCGCATGACTAGGATTTCTGGAACTCCAAGTGGACTGCCGCGCATCTTAAACGTGCGCAGTACATGTCATTGGATAGCTCTCGTTGAGACATATCAAATGACACCCCATGCGCATGTCTCGGATTTCTGGAACTTCATGTGTCTAGACTCCCGCGCATCCTAGAGGGGCGCACTGTATGTCCTTGATCAACTGATCGGCCGAGCCGAAAGGGATTTTTAACCGTAAGGAATCTAAATTGAAATTAGAAATTTAAAGTAGCAACGCGATTAGAGATGCAATTTTATTTCAGGTGTAAATAGAGTAATTGATATCAGTATTACTTTATGTATATACACTGTGTCAAAGATAACATAAGGATGTCTATCATGGGGATATCCGAAACAATTCAAATTAGGGAAAAGTTGCGGAATCGAACAGTTATTAATTATTATCATTCTTTAAAGAAAACCAAAAAATTCCGATTACTTCCGAAGATATGCCAGAAAAACCGAAACTTGCCGATTTTTTGCTGCTGTTTGAACAGATACAAAAAATAAAAAACACTTTCTCATTACCACCTTTGAGCTCTACAAGACACCCTTGAAAGATTTTCAATACAAAGTTACGCTTCGGAGAAATCTCGTCAACTTCATTTTTTTATATGGTCCGTAAAAAAATGACATACTGTATTGAGTACCATTTTTATTACTTATCCAATCCAACGATATATGTCGCACACACAAAACTAAAAATTGGCAATGAGAAAGCGGTTTCAATTTTGTTGTATGTGTTCAAATAACAACAGAAAAAAGTAAAAACCAAATCGGCAAATTTCGGTTTTTCTGGCATATCTTCGGGAGTAATCGGAATTTTCTGGTTTTCTTCTAATTTTACCATCGTCCTACCTTCTATGGTTTCAGAGATCCTCATGACACTCTTATCTTTGGCACAATGTATATTCAGGATGAATAAATAAAACGAGTCAATGTAATTAAATCGTTACCGATGTTAAATGACAAGAACCTTGTACTAGCGCGAGTTAAATATTTAAAACTTTACAAGCGCTTATTGGGTCTGATTTTAATACGGCGATGTCTGTGAATATGAATGTAAATAAAGGGAAACTATTAAATCGGACCATCATTTACTGCGCACGAAGATATTCGCACCTTCTCAAGAAGCCACGTCCTCAGAAGTCTGTAGTCGGTCCGTGCATTCCGAATCAGATCCAAGCCGGGGGCGGAACAGAAACGGTCACAAAAGCGCATTTAGAACTCTTGGTGCACAAACGCTAGAGGTATTTATGAACGTTTTGGTTTAATTCCGTCGTCGTACTGCCGCTGCAGTTATGTGGTATTTAAATACGAAACCAGCTACAACCATTTTGCTCAATCGGTATGCAACTGTTTATGGACGCCATTTGCTTCTAAAGTTTAAAGACTTGCTTCTGGAAATTCTTAATAACGTATTGCAGTCCGATTCAATTTATTATACCGGGTGTTTATAAAAATACTAACTATTTTAACGCCTTACGGACATTCTATATGTACATTGAGTTTATTTCAGGTATAAATAAAGTTCAATATTTCCTATCAATGCAAAGTAGGTATATTTTTTCAAATGAATGTGATTTGATCAGTTACTTTACAGGATTGGTTCGCCTCAGCCCCATTTACTAATACATTATTCTATTGCAGCAAAGATAAACTTGAAAGAAAATAAGAACCGTTTCGAATTTTAATAAATACTTTATTTATCCTTTAGCACTTTTCCTTAAGGGCTCAGAAAAGCCTGATAGCTAGCCGGAGCATACGTGTTTATTTAGAAAACTACATAACAAGAACCACGCCCAATTTAATTGAGTTATAAAAAAATTAACCAGACAGAATGAGGACATACTATAAACGTGACCGATTTGAAATCAATTGCCAACTATGGTTGCGTGCAATCGTTCTTACCGCTCACAAAACGGTTTCACCATACCATTTTGATTCTACCTAGTAGTTTTCTGATTGGATGGTTTGTGTAGTCCAAAACCAGTTGCGCACGTGTGAATTCATTACCTACATCAAGATCATACTACATCACCTTTGCCTACAAGAAATAATCGAAGGCGCCTAGGACGAGGTTTCCATGGAGTTGTGCGGTTATTGTTATTTGGCTTCATGTTTGACTTCAAAATTCTAATAATAAAAAAATCTAATAATAAATTCTAAGTCGTAGGAGATGGCCGAAGAACACATTTTAGATCAGTTCCAACAAGAAAATAATGCAGAAGAGGAAGTAGACAATAGATTGGTTCAGCCACTCATGGAAATATTTCCTGAAGCATGTCCACAATTCTTACGGCAAATTTGTAAAGGAAAGCGCCACTCCCCTGACGTACTGAATAGTTTAATGGGAGAAGTCCTGGATGTGGATTACCCCAAGCGAAGAAAAACTGAAAGCGCACCGTACCGTCTGAATGCCTCTGAACAACTGGAGCTAATGAAAAGCATACTTGTGGACGCCGATCCGGAATATTTACAAATGCATTCTGATCGTCTCATCGATAATCCGGACGACCTTAAAGCGTTTGTGTCTCAAGCGATCGAAACACGAAACTATCCAACGTTGAAAAAATATTTGAGGTACCTAAACGTGTATCTTATTCAGTGCACTTAGTCTAACGTATTTGTTTGTAGGAAGAAACAACTATCCGCCCAACAAAACCAGTACACAAGTGAATTCAGTGTTGCCAAATTTCTAGAAGTAATACCCGATCCTTTTCAGTATTTTGCTGATTCAAAGCGGAAAGTTGGTGAATTAGATTATCGCAGTCACAATTACGCTATGTATTACCTACGAAACAAATTTGCAATGGTACAATTGCGATCAATCCGCGAATGCTTTATTAAAAATAAAGAAGGGCTTTTGGCAACTTGTAAGGAATTGGAAAATTACCCTCCTTCCAAAAGAATGGCATCAAAGCGAGGAAAAGTGGCGATGCCTTCCATAATTCAAAATATACCTCTTCTTCAAGAAATTGCCTTCTATGACCATCAGGAGGAAATAACGCAATTTTTAAGTCAAAGAAAGTTACAAGAAGAGATGGAGCGTAAACAAGCCAAAGCCGCCGGATTATTGCAGACGTGTGCTTGTTGCTATGACGATGAAATCATGCCCAATGATATCGCTTCTTGTGAAGCCGGTTGTATGTTTTGTAAATATTGTGTACGGAAAAGTGCGGAGATCGCGTTTGGAGATGGTAAATTGGACTTTCCCTGCCTTGGCGATTGCGAGTCCCATTTTACTTTACCAGTTTTACAGGTATAAACGTAAAAACTGGAGTCGATTTCCAATTAACCATTTTTTCATAGGATGTAATCAACCCAAAAATGTTTTCCGTCATTGCTTCAAAAAAACAAGTCGAGGAAGTAAAAGCGGCTGGAATTGAAGATTTGGAAACTTGTCCCTTCTGTGATTTTGCGGCTATCCCTGCTCGTGATGATAAATTGTTTAGGTGTCTAAATCCTCAGTGTATGAAAGAGTCGTGTCGAATGTGTAAGGAACCTTCGCATGTGCCTTTGCGTTGCGATGAAGTTGAGAAGGATGAGGACGTTAAAGATCGAACATATATAGAAAATAAAATGACTGAAGGACTGCTGAGGTAGCTATGTTTGTTTCCCCATTTTCTTGTCTATTTAATACAGGCCATTTGTGCTCAAACGGGCGTTTAGCGGGAAAGTTGTGGGGTAGTTTTGATTTCTTTGATTCTATATGTTTTTTGGAGTGCTGAATCCGAATCTGAGGTTTGCTAACAAAATTTCATGGCGCAACATTGAAAAAAATACAAAAAACTTGAAAAACATATTATTTTTGGCAGTTTTGTGACTACAACTTGAAAACTTTTCGAAAATAATCTTCCTATTCAAAATGAAAGTACATAAAATTTCCTACAGATTCCATTATTTAGTTTTTTTCCTTGATGAACCGTTCGGGCTCAAGCGCCAGTTGAAAATTGGCGTATTTCGGCTGTATCCGCAAATACTCATCTTTTATTATTATTCTGTGCAAATATAAATCCGTACTTTTCATTGTCTACCGGTCTCCTTAAAAGATTTTAGCACTGTTCCGTCTGGTATAAAATAAAACTCTCCCACTCCTTCACAGATGAGCCAAGGCCCATTACGTCACCGGGTACCTGCGTTTGCAGTCTCGAGGTCCTCCTCCCATACACATACATATACACACTAAGTTACACAGATGGACGGACGGACAGTTCAAAATCATGAACTCGCTTTTTGTCGCTCGTTAACATGTAAACAGAAAAGAAATAAATCGGGTTCAGTTGTTAACAGACAAATTAAAGCTGGGGTAACTCCTCTCCGAGGACTACGTGATGCTTCAGAACACCGGGGCTAGAGGGATTCCCCCCGCAACCTCCCCAAATTTTGAAAAAAAGAAAACATAGTTTCTTTTCCGTTATTTTGTGTATTTCAAAGAAAAACTATCTGGAAATTCGGAAAGTAGACCAAATTTGCGACAAAATGATATTTTGACGCAGGGCGAAAGAGTAGGGCGTTCGCGCTTTGGTGCCGCACGCACGTCAGAACTATAACGCAGACTGTCTCATCCTTAATACAGCAATTGAAATGGCATCAATTCATCCATTGGTGATTATTGTCGGCGAAAATATAGATTTCGATTAACTGTACTTGCTCAATCCGCCAATATTTACTTCATGAAGCCCGACAAAGGTAAAGTTTCACAACAGATCTACTCACCTTTTGGTCTTGAAGAAGACACAGTGGCTACAAATATACTATTTTACACGCTTTCAGCGGCTGTGACTCTACGTCTGTGATTTTTGCCCACGGTCTAGCTTTCCTAGTCCGAGTCCGAAAACACGGAAGATTTGTCAGATTAGTCGTTTCTAAACTTCCTTTTTGGTCTTCCTTCGAACATGCATCAAACAATCTACTTTAAAAACGGGACTTTGAAACAAATTAAATCTTTTTCGCGAATGAACCTAATTTTCAGCAGTGACATAGATAAACCTAGGCCATTAGCTACAGTTAAACGGTAAAGAGTAATTTAAACTTTTTTTTAAATAAATTAATTTAACTTTAGTAATAAAAGTCTATATTTTTTAAGTATATGTGGATGTGTTCTTAATTCTGAACTTTTCTGAAAATATAGGTGGTGAAAAGTTGGAGGTTGAGGGTTCACTTCCAGATACTGAAAAATAAGAGAGATTAAAGGAGAGAGGGGGTTAAAACGAATGGTAAAGTGGGTGGTAAAGCGGGTGGAGCGAGAACGAACATGAACGCCGTGGGTTGTTAAGCGAAGTGTGCTTGAATCGCCAATGAGCAAGCATCTTAGACCATACAGTACATGGACTGCTAATTGTAACGAAAATATGGTCAAGGACATCACCTGGGTATGTGACTTTCAGGGTAAACGAGTCTGTCCGAAGTTTTCCGATGAGACACGATTTGAGACTGTCAACCTATAAATTAACAAACGTCAATTAATGGATCGCCTTAGGGTACGTTCCACTTAACGCCCGTAACGATCACGACCGCGACCGCGGTTTTGTCGTTCCACTAGCTTAGAGGCGTTGTGGGCGAAACCTTAAGTGGAACGCTTTTGAGTACGGTCGCGTGACGTCACGCGTGAGTGAACAGTTTTCCAACATGGATGCCGTTGAGGAGATCGCAATGCGTAAAGGATACAAAGTGGGGTGGATTATGAATTCAGAAGTCACATTAAGTTAGTAAATATTTTTTTATTTTCCAGTACCAATTATTGACACATACTTCTTCGCTTTACACAAGATATCGCTTCTTGTTAATAAAATATTGAAGACGACTTTTGAATTTCTATCATGAATGCTGCGGCCATACTTAATACGATTATAATGAACACTTCTCCCCAGGATTTCTTGTGGGAATGCTGCTTCGAAAACAATTTCTCTTCTTCATTCAAAACTAACGTACATTCTCATTTTCATCAATCGTTGCATTACCATTTATAATCTATCATAATCATCCTTGATCTACAATAAAGAAAATTGTGTTAAAGCAGAATTTTCCTTAACAAATAACTTTAACATTCACACGGAGAAAAATAAGTTGGTTCTCTTAGCAGTTTCTATTTTGCTATAATTATTTTTGCTCTGATGAAAAAATCTTTTAGTAGAATGTCTTTTATGTTTGTCTCAGAAGCGAAAACGAATTTGTTGGAAGTGACAAAAATTTTAGTACACAAAGATTAGCTTAGACAACAAGGTATCTTAGTAGTAATTACAAATGAAAATTTCGCTGCCTCAGCTGTTCCTCGTGTAGCAATCTGTTTTGCACCCAGATGCAAATGGTTTGCTGAGCCGACAAAGTATGTTAGCTATAGTTGCATACGTAGGTATGAGTCAGAACGATCAGCAGAAAAATAAAACCAATTTCCGCAGCCCACTGCCTAAGTAAAAGCGAAACAGTAAGATCGGTTTCATTTATCATTTTAATTTTACGCGTATAAGTGTTCTGTACCTTGAGTAAATTAGCGGAAATGTCGGAATCAGAATTGCAGTGTGTGTGTGCAAAGTGTTTCTGGTGACACCACCGACATCGACGGTCTACTAAAATGGGGGCTAGAAATGTTGAGTAGCGTCTTCAAAGGTATGTAGAAAAAATTTGTCTCCACTTTCTGTAAATGTATAAGTATAAATAACGCCGGCTAAGCGTCGAAATCTAACGATTGCCTCAAAATGGCGACAAAAAAGACCCAGATGTGATAATCGAACACGAGCTGAAGGCTGATCTTACTAAGAGGTGTGTATAACGAAGATATAAATCTGTTTATACTACATGCGTACCTATTTTGCAGTATACCGACAGCTCGGCTTGACAGTTTGCCGGTCATCGTCCAGCGTATGTTCCCAACAGCAACCAAACTATGTCCGTTTATAGTTGTAGAATTGCATGTTTTTAATTAAATGTTTCCAGGATTGTTATTTTACCATAGTAAACGAACAGGGCAAGAAATCAGGGAGAGGTACATTATTTACCAAATACCTATTATAATTTGAGAAGACGATTTACTAGTATTGGGTTGATTAATAAAAAGACTAAAAGTACCGCTACAGTTCATGATTCAAATAAAGGTGAGAATGTTACTTCCACAAACATTACTTTTAAAAACAATGAGTATAATGAAGTGTAAATTTGTAGAGATTGGTGAGGAGTAGAGTGAAATTATCAAGTGGCTGAAGAACAACGTATCTCCATGGACGTCTGTCATTAACTATTGGACTGAAATCTTTCATATACAAGAAGGAATTTATTTTTGGGATTACCAGATCTCTGTGGCTACAAAGACAATTTGTTGCCAGACCGCACACAATTTAGCTGCTAGTGCAAGTTTCGTCTATTATAGGATAATAACGCTCTTAGCATCTGCAGCTAAAATAATTTGCTAAGAGAGCAAAGAGATTCAGTGACTGGTACTTCAATATGTTAGTAGTGGCTACAAATGGGACTGGTTCTATTGCAAATTTCGTCGATTATTGGATACTAAATTTACTGGCCGCCGCAGCTAAAGTTATTTGTTAGGAAAGCAAAATAGTTTAGTAACATGTACTTTCAGATTCTAGTAGGAGAAGCAAAACGTATGTAGTTACATGAACTAAAAATAAGTAGCATTTTTTCTTTGCTCTTGCTGCAAAACTTTTAGCAGTCCATATAGGTGCAAAGAAAATTAGCTGCATATACTTATTTTTTTGTTCTTATGACAAATCATTTTTCTCCGTGTAGTGATTTAAACGAGCTCTAAAATTTTGTGCTTGCGATAATAAAAGTCCCTAAACAAGTCATAAATTGGGTCATTATTACTTACTTGTCATGCCTTCGTAGTGTCTTTTATATGCTTTACACCATTTTTCGCTAGTATGGCGAGACCAAGCGGGACTAGACGAGACGAGACGAGACTGAATCAGGCAGAGACGAGACTTTGACTTGCTTTTGTCTCGAGGTAACGAGAAGAGACGTGACCTTCGAAAGTCCCACTACATCACAGGGCTGATGATTATGAACATAAGAAAAAAGGTTTGCGATTAGATTAGAAAACATTCAGCAGGATGTAAGGGAGTTCTTAGGTGAAAGTCCGAGACAAAATCCTTTTAAGGAAAACGGATCTGGAGAATATTGGGTTGCAACTGTCCTTAAAATACACAAGAAAATCTCTTTAAGAACTTCTGAAGGAATTGCTGCGGAAGTGCAGTGGTACCAGAAGCGGATGCAAAAAATTAATTATTATGATTATCTTATAGACAAGAATTTGCATTTATTCGACGATCTCTGGCATACATTTATGGTGATGAAACATTTTTACCTTACCTATGTCAAGAAACAAGATGGCGTTTGCTGAATCAAATTTAACAGTAATGTACGCATTTCATGCAAATGGCGATTTAACTTCTCGTATTTTTATATTCCCATACGCGAGAATTTCCGTGGATATAGCAGAATTTTTGCCAGGCACCTAGGGAATTGGAAATAGTGAGATCGGGTGGATAAAAATGCACTTTATATGAATGTATTGGAAATCATTAGACAAAACTGTACATGGTCATCTGACATATGAACGGAGAACAATTTGTTCAGATTTAAACACGTATTAATTACATTATTAAGTACCCTATT